AGCAGGGTTACGTTTTTGCACGTCGTGCACAATAACCCTAAAGGCACCAGGGTGGCGGTGCCACCGGCTTTATATATATATATATATATATATATATATATATATATAAATATAGCTGCGAGCAGCGATGAAGGGCCAAAGCCGGTGGTACCGCCACCCCGGTGCCTTTAGGTAACTAAAGGCACCGGGGTTGCGGTGCCACCGGCTTGGGCCCGTAATCGCTGCTCGCAGCTATATTTATCATTATTTTCTGTAAAACTGCTTTAAAAGAATTATAATAAAAAAAGGTCTATACAAATAAATTTGACTTGACTTAAAGGAATAGTTTAAAAAAAAAATTACTCACCCTCAAGTTGTTCCAATCCTGTATGAGTTTCTTTCTTCTGCTGAACACAAAAGAAGATATTTTGAAGAATGTTGATAATCAGACATTTAATGGTAGCCATTGACTTCCATAGTATTTTTGTCCTACTATGAAAGTCAATGGCTTCGTCAACTTTCTGGTTACCAACATTCTTTAAAATATCTTCTTTTGTGTTCAGCAGAAGAAAGAAACTCATACAGGTCTGGAACAACGTGAGGGTGAGGGTTAGGGTGGGACATATTGAAGAGGTTGTCTTTTAATAGCCAATAGCCTTCTGTGTATATGTCACAATCATGAACTATGATTTGATGCTCATTGCTAGTCAGAGGCAGGAGAGACATTCTCAAATTTCAGTCTAGAGAACATTTTATTGAAAAAAAAAGTTGGTTCCAAGATTATCAATACTTTGGTCTGTTTTTCAAGAAGAGAAAGTCTATGTATTTAAAGTCGGCAGACAGAAGTTGCGATTGTCTTTTCTCCCTATTGTGGCATATATCCGAGTAAAACTGCTTCTCGAACAAGAAGAAATGTTGGGCAGAACTTGACTTTGTCTGGGAATTGTTTGGATGGTTTTGGTTTGCTATTGCTGTGATGTCATGTGAGTGACAGGTTGTCCCGCCCTCACGCCAGTAAACACATCATCAGAGAAGAGATTCCCTTCTTTTACATGTTGAATTTCAGCTACTCTGTTCCTGTTGCTGGTTTGTGGCCCCTAGGTGAAGAACAAAGTGATATGAATACTTTGATACCTGCAGCAATTACATTATTAAATTAAAAAAGTATGAAATGACATACTTCGCCATGCATGGCACTTAATGCTTTTGAGGGGGTGGGTGAGTGTGTGTTTGTATAGGCACATTGTCATGACCTTTTTCTTAGGAGTTTTTAATATTTTTATTTTACCTTTTTGATATTATATATTGTAATGGTATATGTTTTAATGCATGTTCTGATGTTTTATGATTTCGTCTTAATTATAGATTGTTGAATCTCCTGTCTGCACAACAAATGTACCCACAGCTACTAATAAAGACACTTTGACCTTGAGATGTCACTGCAAGAGGAGGAGAAGATATTTTGATTAAAGATTACGAGGGTGCATTAATATAAAAACATATTTGAATGATATGCATGGATAAATCATTTATAATAAATACTTCAATATTCCATTTAAAAAAAGAAAATTGAATTGTCAATTTAGATTTCATGGTGACTGACTTTAAATCCACATATCTGAATTTATATACGCTACCTTATAGATGGTATCAAAGCTAACAGACATTTACTGGGGTCTTTAACTTGACTTGTTTAGCTTGTTTATCTGCACTTTTCTGATAGCCCACGTGAGTGATGGGTGGCTGTACACATTGCTCACAGAATACAGATCAGCAAGAGAGAGAGAGAGAGAGAGAGAGAGAGAGAGAGAGAGAGAGAGAGAGAGAGAGAGAGAGAGAGAGAGAGAGAGAGAGAGAGAGAGAGAGAGGGAAGGAGGGAAAACGTGAATTGGCAACAGGAAGAAAAGGATGTCAAGTGGTGATGAAGGAGAAAACGATCTTGATGGAATAAGGAAACATACTTGTGCAGAGACAGAAAGGGCGGAGTGTAGAGATGGATGAGAGGATGAAAAGAGAGAACGAGAAGCCCTGATGCATCTGAGCATGAGTTATGAGCTCTCTGAGCCCTCCCTTACCCTGACTCATAAATATCTGTGCGATAAATTCTCCGGGGGAAGCAGAAACTCACAGCACAGATCATTGGTTGACAGGCACAAATATACTCTATAAGAAATCTCCACAGTAACCTGTGTGAGTGACATTTTTGTGCAGTAAACGGTAAAACTATTACTGCTATAAACTGTTTATGATTATGAAAATAAATGTAAATAATATGATAACAAATACCAGTTTGCAATACAATCACAAATGGCCGTACCCGTTCTTATGTTAAAAACTAGGTGGAGAAATAGCCAGGAATGGTTGTTAGGGTGTTGCTAGGTGGTTGCTAGGTAGTTGCTTGCGTGTCCTATGTGGTTTCTTACTGGAAATAGGGATGCACAATATATCAGTACGATATTGGTTATCAGCTGACAATTAAAAACATCAAATGTTTTTAATATACTGTATATCGTTATCGTCTGATACTTGATATTTAATTGTGCATGTTCATTTCTTCTATTTTTACGTTTAGATTACCTTTGGCATCATCTAATGGTATCTTAAAGTTAATCTTTAAAAACATTAATAATTGAATAATTGTAATTTAAATATAATCTTTAGCAAATCTCGAAATTGTTATCCATTTTTTAATTTTGTACATTATAATGTTGTGTTGTCTAAATTCACTTGTAGCATTTAAAAATATTTTTGGTTATTTTATTATTTATTTTATTGTTTTTATTGTTTTATTTTAGACCAAACAGTATACAGTTCTTATATTGGCCATTTATCAGTTATCAACAAATAACTTGGCATATTGGCTTAATTTTTTCAGTGCATTCCTACCCCCTTGTCTTAAATACATGTATTAATCCATATTAGCGTTGTCATCAAGTATGAGAAATAGTGCTTCCCTGGGCATGCATTTTTTATAAATACATTTTTGATGAGATGCTTGATGTGAAATGGACTCCCTACAACCTCCATGAATCAGTTTCATGGCAGGTTATGGTTAATGGAGACTGGTCACAGCTGAAAGGCCCTTTATGATGACCTTTCTTTCCTGTCAAGGACGATGCTAATCTGATGGCATCAGTCGCTCCTCAGGGTGACACCTGCAGCAGTGCCAAAAAGGGGTTTTAGCAAATTAGATCTGGAACAATCCAACAGAGACATACAGTCTTCTGGGTCAACATGCGGGGCATTGCAATTCATTCATCTAATGGGATGTAGTTATCTCAACATTAATGCAATCAACACTTACGGTGGCCTTTGATATATAAAAATCATAATAACTATTTTTGGTATTAGTCTCTGATATGGGCTTTAAATCATCCTAGCGTTAAAGAAAAGTTATCTTTAAAAACACTCTTCTGAACCGAGATGTTATTTGACATGGTAAAAGTTGTCTGACATTTTTAGGGCAGGACTGTCTTCCTGCAGTCACATTGATCCTTCAAAATTACAAAGATGGGCTTATTTTTATATTTCCTGTATCTTTTGCCTAAATGGAGTTCATTTCATTGTGACTGGCTGTCAGAACATATCGAATCACACATTACATAGCAGATGCACTCCACCTCTTAGAGACACCGTTCAAATGTACATCACCGAAATGGACGTTTTAATAGCCGTGGGCTGTTTTACAGAGCACCCATCCACTGAACTGTGATCATGGGGTCTTTCTCTTCCCGTCTTTGTCCATTTCTCTCTCTCTCTGTTCGCTGATCTCATTTAGTGTTGTATTTGCTGTTTAAATTTAAATGAAGGTGAAGGGTAAATCTCAGACCCCCTGTACACAACCACCTGCTCCTGTTCGCCTCTCCCGTCGGGAGCTTAAACACTGAGCGTGACTCACCTTTTACATGCTTTTTCATCCCAGACACACACACACATACACACACACACACACACACGCACGCACGCATACACACACACACACACACACACACACACACACACACAAACACACACACAGTTATATACTGAGAATTATGTGTTCTTCCATATATCAAATGAAAGTTGTCTTTTTAAAATATGTTAAATGGAAGTAATGTATGTAAATGTATTCAATATAATTAAAAACAAAATATGATAAAATTATTATATTTATACCTAATTTGTATTTAATTTATATATTACATTATAGGACAGTTTATATTAAGTGTCTTTAACTACTATGTACTAACATTTAAATTAATGATTTGATACAATGCAATGTGTACATGTTTTGTATTTACATATATTTACATTATTACTTATTTATCATTTTTAAAAACCTGCATGTAATTACATTTGCAATTGATTACTGTAATTACATCTATCGTTACACTGTGGGACCATACAAGTGGGACCATATTATAATACATTACATATTACACACACTGACACACACACACAGAAACACACACACACACACACACACACACACACACAGTATGTGTTAGTATACAGTTGTGGTCAGAATTATTGGCACCCCTGGTAAATATGATCAAAGTAAAAATAAATTGCATTATTTATCCATTTTGATCTTTCATTCAAAAATTCACACAAAAATCTAACCTTTCATTGAAGTAAATTAAAAGAATTGAAAGTGGAGCGAAACTCATTATGAAATAACTGTTTTTTTCCACACACACACACACACACACACACACACACACACACACACACACACACACACACACACACACACACAGTTATATACTGAGAATTATGTGTTCTTCCATATATCAAATGAAAGTTGTCTTTTTAAAATATGTTAAATGGAAGTAATGTATGTAAATGTATTCAATATAATTAAAAACAAAATATGATAAAAATTCTGACATAATAGTTTCAATGAAAAGCTCTTAAAATATCATAAAGCCATTACAAACATTCAAGCCATTTATCACACATGAAGCGTACCACAGTGGAAACTATGTATTTGACATTTAAATAGTTGTGGTCCATCTAAACGTCTCTTTTTTATTTTACAGGGTTAAAGCAAAGACATCTGGGCTATGAGGAGGTAAGAACCTTTGATATGACATTACATGAGCACAAACAAACATCCCTCCACCCACAGACGCAGGACAGATGAAATACAGCATTACCCCCTACAGGAGGAGGAAGAGAGAGAGAGGAGAGAAGAGGCAAAAGAACAAAAGAGTTGAGGAAAAGAAATGCAGCACTGCCCTCTACTGGGGGAAAGATAGAGATAGGCTATGTTTGGAAAGACACGCTACCATTCTACTCTTAGTTCTGCAGTATATAGTACATGCACATTTTCTGTCTGATATCTACTATATTTGCTCAAATATTCAGTATACAGTAGAGCCAAATATACCCTGTCCCAACTGGTGCTTAATAACCATTTTGTTTTGATCAACATGTGACAACAATGCAGCATGTTTTATTATTGCAAAATATGTTGTTTTACATACTATTACAGAATTCTGTATACAGTATATACTGCACATAATTTAGTACATAGTAAGCTAGTATGTTATTATAGAGAGAGGCAGTGTAGCTGCACACAGCATACACTTTTCTCCTGTCAGTAATTGGTGTCTCATTCCTGGCTCAACCGAGAATGTCCCATCTGGGCACAGAGTCCAGATAGCCAAAGTCAATAAAGAACAGAGAAAACATCCATCATGCTCTCTCTCTCTCTTTCTATGATTACACTCCAGCAACCATAGTTGCCTACATGTAATGGCCAGCCTCACCAGGGCATAGAAAATCACACACTCAAACACACATAATGACTGCAAAAAAAATAATAATTTGGACACTTACATATGTATGGATGTCATGTAATTAAAAAAATTATCGAATAATTTTTTGAGTAAAGGATCATGTCACGTTTATTCAATTTATGTTTCCAATGTATTTGATTTGACAAAATAAAAAACTTTTGGGAGTAGGTACAAAATATAATGAGCTGGGATTTTTTTATAGTGAATATAATATAATTAATATTATATAATATATAAACAAAATATAGAAAAAAAATATTTGGACACTTACATGTGAATGAATGTCATGTAATTTAATGAAATTATTAAAAAAAATCTTCTTCTTTTTTAGCGAAGGATCATGTGACACTGAAGACTGGGGTAATAATATTATAATAATATAACATTGTAAAACATAAAAATCTTTTTTGATTTAAATAAACTAAACTTAATTTACTGTGTTTATCCAATTCATTTGTCCAATGTATATAAAAATAGAATTGACGAATTGAATTGACAAAATAAAAAAAGTTATTTCAACTTCTGGGAGTAGGTAAAACTCAAAGTCCAAAAAAGAAACAAAATAATGAGTTGAGTTTTTTTTTTACAGTGAATATAAAATATTATATAATATGATATAATATAATTTGAATGTGGGTGAAAGATAAGATAGCCACAGTTAGAAAAGCTCCTCTTAGAGAGCGATGAACCATAGCGTGTGGACGGAGTAAAGAGATCCAGCTGACTTCCATCACGACCAACATTGCAGTTCACCTCAGTCTGATGAGAAACGTCTTTAGAAAGTCTGAAAACCACTGTATAGATGTGACTGTTTGCTATGGGTTCTTTCTCACACTCACATTCTTTTATTCTCTTATTTCTCTCTCACAATCACCATTTCTCACTGTCTGTCCCATCATGCTTTTCTCTCCTGCGGATGAATGGATGCATTTGTTCCCCTTAGCAAGTATAACATGGCTGTTTGTGTTTGGCTTTCATGGATGGGAGATGGAGTCATAAGACCAGGCCTGCAGACACACACACACACACACACACACACACACACACTTTCCCATGCTAGTCATATGAGTTTTAGGGCTTAATCAGAGATAGAGAGAGAGAGTAAGTGAGAGCGGAGGAGAATTGGAGATGGAGGATTTCCTGTGGAGAATGCGGGTCTGGGCGTCCGTGTGCTTGAGGAAATGTTGTTGGTGTTGTGGAGATAAAAAAGTCAGAAGGGAAGAAAAAGAGGAAATGTTTGAGATGAGAGTAGAAGAGATAAAAGAAACAATGAAAACGGAAGAAAAACCATCAAAGACTTGGAGTGTGTCCTCCCTCCCAGTCGCTGAGGTCAGATGGGTTTGTGTTGTGTGTGTGTGTGTGTGTGTGAGTGAGAGAGAGAGAGAGAGAGAGAGAGAGAGAGAGAGAGAGAGAGAGAGAGAGAGAGAGAGAGAGAGAGAGAGAGAGAGAGAGAGAGAGAGAGAGAGAGAGAGAGAGAGAGAGAGAGAGAGAGAGAGAGAGAGAGAAAGAGACAGAGAGTGTGTGTGACATCAAACAGGGATAAATGATGATGTCTTGTCATTTGAATTACAATAATATTGACATTTGTAATATCATAGAATAATGTCTCATAAAAATGTCACTATCTTTGTAATGTTTTTGAAAAATAGGTCTGATTATTTTGAAAACTGTATCATAAGCGTCTCTAATTAACTGTAATGTCAAAGGGTTAAACTATTTTACCGTTTCCGATTTTTTACATTTTAAATAGTTCTTGTGCTGTTGCCAAGCAAATATTGAGAGTCAAAAGTACTGTATTTGATTGAAGGGGAGTCTTAAGATATAATGTACAGCCATTTAGTTCCAAATTAACTGAAGATATTATTGCCTGGTTACAGCACATTCTGTACAGCTAAGCCCATTCTGAGCGTCTCAGTTGTCACTCAGATTAACCGAATTTAGGCAAAGAGACAGAAATAGGGAACATGAGCACTAAAAGAGACTTCTATGGCAGGACATTCTGACATCATCTGCTGTACAACTTGTTCCAATAGCATGAAATTGCTGAAATTACAGCACCACAGCTAAAAAAGGTGCGTAAACAAAGCTGGAGCTTGACGTACAGTAATCGGTTTTGTATGAGCTGGATGAGGAAATATTTGTTAGTCTACAGTCAGCACTGGTTCCATCCAGTTCTAAGTCGTCTCAGTAATCACTCGTTAAGACCAGTTCCATCATCGCTGGATAAGCCGTGTTCCAAGTCGTCTTCATCATCGCTGGATAACTCCAGTTCCAAGTCTTCTTCATTGTTGCTGGTTCAGCACAGTTCCAAGTCGTCTTCATCATCGCTGAATAAGCCCAGTTTCAAGTTGTCTTTGTTGTCGCTGGTTCAACCCAGTTCCAAGTCGTCTTCATCATCGCTGAATAAGCCCAGTTTCAAGTTGTCTTTGTTGTCGCTGGTTCAACCCAGTTCCAAGTCGTCTTCATCATCGCTGGATAACTCCAGTTCCGAGTCGTCTTCGTTGTCGCTGGTTCAGCACAGTTTAAAGTCGTCTTCATCATCGCTGGATAAGCCCAGTTCCAAGTCGTCTTCATCATCGCTGGATAACTACAGGTTGTGTTCGTTGTCGCTGGTTAAGCCCAGTTCTACCAGAAAGACTCGGGAGATAAATTGATGTAACAAGCGTATATTTATTAACAGCTCAGCAAGCATGAATTTATAAAGTTCTTTGGCGTAGGCCCCGTCCTTAGCGAGCAATGCGAGGGTAGTGGAATCTGCATGTCCTGCCTGAAGATGAAGGCGCAGCCGACCCCCCTGGAGGTAAAGGAAGGGACCATCCTGGTGGTGGTTGGGGAGGATGGAGGTAATTGGCAGCGTGAGTATCTGCGAACTGAGACAAATGTAAGTACCAATCTTTTATACTGTGAGTGTTAGCACATGATTGGTTAGAAGTGAGGTAATACGTGACACACTGATTGAGTCTTCCTGGCAGAACTTACGCTAAAGCTTTCATTTCCAAGTCGTCTTCATCATCGCTGCTTAAGCCCAGGTCCAAGTCGTTTCAGTCATCGCTGGTTAAGCCCAGTTCCAAGTCGTTTCAGTCATCGCTGCTTAAGCCCAGGTCCAAGTCGTTTCAGTCATCGCTGGTTAAGCCCAGGTCCAAGTCGTTTCAGTCATCGCTGGTTAAGCCCAGGTCCAAGTCGTTTCAGTCATCGCTGGTTAAGCCCAGTTCCAAGTCGTTTCAGTCATCGCTGCTTAAGCCCAGGTCCAAGTCGTTTCAGTCATCGCTGGTTAAGCCCAGTTCCAAGTCGTTTCAGTCATCGCTGGTTAAGCCCAGGTCCAAGTCGTTTCAGTCATCGCTGGTTAAGCCCAGTTCCAAGTCGTTTCAGTCATCGCTGGTTAAGCCCAGTTCCAAGTCATTTCAGTCATTGCTGGTTAAGCCCAGGTCCAAGTCGTTTCAGTTATCGCTGGTTAAGCCCAGTTCCAAGTCATTTCAGTCATCGCTGGTTAAGCCCAGGTCCAAGTCGTTTCAGTCATCGCTGGTTCAGCCCAGGTCCAAGTCGTTTCAGTCATCGCTGGTTAAGCCCAGGCCCAAGTCGTTTCAGTCATCGCTGGTTAAGCCCAGGTCCAAGTCGTTTCAGTCATCGCTGGTTAAGCCCAGGTCCAAGTCGTTTCAGTCATCGCTGGTTAAGCCCAGGTCCAAGTCGTTTCAGTCATCGCTGGTTAAGCCCAGGTCCAAGTCGTTTCAGTCATCGCTGGTTAAGCCCAGGTCCAAGTTGTTTCAGTCATCGCTGGTTAAGCCCAGGTCCAAGTTGTTTCAGTCATCGCTGGTTAAGCCCCAAGTTGTTTCAGTCATCGCTGGTTAAGCCCAGGTCCAATTTGTTTCAGTCATCGCTGGTTAAGCCCAGTTCCAAGTCGTTTCAGTCATCGCTGGTTAAGCCCAGTTCCAAGTCATTTCAGTCATCGCTGGTTAAGCCCAGGTCCAAGTCGTTTCAGTCATCGCTGGTTAAGCCCAGGTCCAAGTCGTTTATGTCATCGCTGGTTAAGCCCAGTTCCAAGTCGTTTCAGTCATTGCTGGTTAAGCCCAGTTCCAAGTCGTTTCAGTCATCGTTGGTTAAGCCCAGGTCCAATTCGTTTCAGTCATCGCTGGTTAAGCCCAGTTCCAAGTCGTTTCAGTCATCGCTGGTTAAGCCCAGTTCCAAGTCATTTCAGTCATCGCTGGTTAAGCCCAGGTCCAAGTCGTTTCAGTCATCGCTGGTTAAGCCCAGGTCCAAGTCGTTTATGTCATCGCTGGTTAAGCCCAGTTCCAAGTCGTTTCAGTCATTGCTGGTTAAGCCCAGTTCCAAGTCGTTTCAGTCATCGCTGGTTAAGCCCAGTTCCAAGTCATTTCAGTCATCGCTGGTTAAGCCCAGGTCCAAGTCGTTTCAGTCATCGCTGACGTTTCCAAGTCGTTTCAGTCATCGCTGGTTAAGCCCAGTTCTAAGTCTCCTTCATCGCCATTGGCTCTGCCCAGCCCTCCGAACTGTCGGCTCCACCATGCCTCAATGCTCCCTCAGGCTTCGCTGGGCTCCCTGGTCCCTATGGCTCCACCTTGGTCCATCATCGCTCTGTCTTTGCCAGGCTCCTCCTTCACTCCGGTTCCTCCATTGTCCTCACTCCCGTCGTCTCCGGCCCGGTCTGCCAAGCACACGTCTCCACCTTGGTCACACCCACCTGCAGCTCCTCTTCCTCTGGTTCCTCCCACCTTCTTCTTCTCCCTCGTCATCTCCTGGGGTCTTCCTCTGCCCACTCCTCGTCCTCCTCCAGATCCCCTCCCTTCTTCCTCTGCTAGAGACACGCTTTCAACTTGACCTGTTTCTTCTGTGTTTGCATTAACCCCTTAACTGTCACCGTCCCACAGGTGGGACGTTTGCCATTATATTTTTAAAACAATAATATCTTAGTTAAAACCTTAAGTAATATTGACAAACTATATATCATTTGAAAGCTTACAATCTCTAGTTTCCATATTTGGTGATTGATTTTCAAAATAAATTACAGAGGAGCCGTAATTTATCAATTTGCAACAATAATATTTTCATACTCCTAGGCGTGTTCAGACCTTTATTTTGAAATAGCAATGAACATGAAAAATCATAAAAAAATAGTAGAAACCTAGTTTGTTTTCATGCCAAGAGTTCAAAAGATAGCATCCATTCAATTATTTTAGAAAAAAAGGTCTGAAAATGTTTTAAATATAAAGAAAAAAATAATAAATTCACCATTTGTGATGTGGCAGCGAGCTATGACGCACATGCGTGTTCTTTGTATGTGTTTATTAGAGGTTGAATTCATATCAAAATCTGCCAAACTTTCCCATACTACTTCTGAATAGGATCTCTACTTCATAAATTGTATGAAAATTGTGGAAATAATGGTTCATATCACTCAAAACACATTTGGAAATGGAGGCGCCCTTATATGGGCAGTAATGGAGTCTGGTTGTGACCTAGTGAAAAAGTTTGGTACTGCGCCCAAACAAAATCTTACTGAAAGCTCATTTTTTGAGATATCAACCTAAAATTTGAAACACAACTTGTTCAGATTTTTGGCTTTGATTTTTCTGCAGTTTTAGAGTAGCCCAGGTTTTGAAAATATATATTTTATATAAAATATGAATAATTAATTTTTTTACATTGTACATTTCCATAAACTCAAACTTCTATAACTTTTTTTCTGTTTCACTTTCTTAATTTATTTCACTTCTACATAAATCTGCCAAATGTCTTCTTTAAAACAAGACCAATCTTACGTCTATATTCCAAAGCATTCTTGAATTACAACCATTTATGTTCGAAATGTGCATTTTCATGTCAATTAAAAAAAAGGGGGGTGACAGTTAACAGGTTAAAGTTATGATAGTTGGTTGTGTTCTTTGTGGTAAAAAATTTGGAATAATTAAGATTTTTTAATGTTTTTGAAAAAAGTCTTTTATGTTCACCAAGGCTGCATTTATTTGATGAAAAATACAGTGAAAACAGTAATATTGTGAAATATTAGCCTATTACAATTTAAAAGAACCGTATTCTATTTGAATATATTTAAAAATGTAATTTTTTTCTTTGATTCAAAGCTGAATTTTCAGTATCATAACTTCAGTCTTCAGTGTCACATGATCCTTCAGAAATCATTTGAATATGCTGATTTGCTGCTCAAGTAACATTTTGTATTATTATAATGTTGAAAACAGTTGTGTTCCTTAATATTTTTGTGGAAACCATGATATACTGCCATATAAAAAATATTCGGCAAGTAAGATTTTTTATTTATTTATTAGAAATGAATACTTTTATTCAACAAGGACACATTCAATTGATTCAAGTAATAGTTAAAGGCAGGGTAGGTAAGTTTGAGAAACTAGCAGAAAACTGCTGGATTTTGAAAGTATCCAACTGAGAAACTCCCACCCCCTCCCTTCTGGGCTCCTTCCAAAGCCACGCCCCCAAAACACATGAACGTGTGATGCTGACCGCTCAGCTGGAGCACGCGTTTACCAGCGCCGAGCGGAGAGGAGCGCAGTGCATGGAGTGACATCACCTTTTTTTGCCTTGTTTGCCTGCGCTGGCTGTATATGCAGGTACAGGTGGTACTGGGCATTTTGACTGCTCTTTCTTTGCCATAATTGTGAGACTTCTTACCTTCCGGCCGGTACGTGCCTCTCCTCTTTCGAAATGAGCTAGTCAACCAAGTGCGCATGTGGGCAGCTCCTGTAGCAGCAGGGATGGTAGCCATGGTTGCGAGGAAGAGTGACAGTCGCCCAGCCAATCATTGCATCCGTTCCGAATGGAAAGAGTAGCTGTGTTTATTGCAGCCCTGAGAGGACTACAGACTCTCGATTTGTATACTTTCCTTTTCAGAGTACTTACATTTTAGATATGTATTGGTATATAAAGACAGTTTAAACAAATTTGGGAAAAAAGTGTTTTTTAAACAAACTGCCTACCCTGCCTTTAAGGCCTTTATAATATTACAAACGATTTCCATTTTAAATAAATGCTTTTAAACTTTCTATAAATCAAAGAATTCTGAAAAATATATTATGCAGCAAACTGTTTTCAGCAGTGATAATAAGAACCATTATTAATAATTGAGCACCAATAAATCTGCATATTAGAATGTTTTCTGAAGGATCATGTACTGTATTTTTAATCAAATAAAATCAGCCTTGGTGACAGATGGTGACTTATTTTAAAAACATGAAGAAAAATATATATATATATAAAAGAGCATTTTTCTCCCTGCTGAAGATATGTGAGGTCTGTTATCAGCTAATCTGCATGTACAGTTCTGATCTGGAATAAATAAAAATCCTGAAGCCATGTAGACCTGAATATGAGGACACGCTTCACACACAGACAGATATATGGATACAGTAAGATGGCTGTATCAGCAAAACAAGGTGTTATAACATCTCAAACTGTATCTAACATAGATCAAGCTGTCTTTCTCTCTATCTTTGTCTCCTATTTCAGCTGGGTGAGCTGGACGGGGTGGAGAAACCACAGCCGCACTGGTTTCACACGCTGCAGGTGCGACGGCTCAGAGTTCAGAGGGGCCGCAGTAACAGCGATCCGATGGGAGGAAAGAGCTTCCAGCAAGAGTTCCAGTGGGTGAGGGACACACCAATACAACTCAGACACACAACAATACACAACATGTGATTTAAGCATGTCCACATACACAGCCATGCACAGTGTTGAGAAATGTTATCAGTAACTATCAATATTGCGTTACTTATTACAAACTGTAATGTCACATTGAAAGGAATGTTAACCCTATAAAGGCTGATGCATTATATTAGATACATTCATTTATAAGACCTCTGAATTATCAACATGATCAAAACTTTGCTGAAAAAAAAAACTGTTGTGCACAATCTACTACATGCCTTCTGGCATTTGATTGATGGTTTATACTTTTTTAGCAAGTAAAATGCCTTTAAGTATTGTAAAAACGTCCCCCTTCAGGTCATATCACACGTCTATTTGCTCTGAAATCTTTAATGATGTTTATGAAGTAAACATTAGAATACATTTTATATTGTTACTAAATTTTCAAGATGTACATTTACTGGGCTGAATCAACTTGGATTTAATCGAGTATCCCTATACTTCATTTTTTAGGTAAATTATGTTCTAAAGTGATTATCAAATATGATGCATCAGTCTTTTGAGGAACGCTTCAATCATTCTACATTATATGTGTTGCGCCCCACAGTAAAAACTACAGAGCTTTGATCATAAAACTAAACATTTAAATATATTACTAAGACAAGTTATTGGTAGATATAGATTGACAACTGATATTTATATGCATGTATAGTCTCATAATTTCATCTTACTTTTTGGCCATATAAATAACAACATCTGCAGCAAAATGCATTATTTTGGCTCAGTTTGTTTTTTCTTCTTGAGTATGAGCTCCATATTCTCACGTTATCATACTTAACGGGCCATAAAAGCCTGATGAAACACATAGGGTTAATTCAAGATAACTGGGACATGTTTCCCATTCATCTCCATGGCAAAATACATATGCAATTATTATTTTTTTACTTTTATATTTTGTCTAAAGGTACAACAAACTGTTCCATTAAAAAAAGTATTATTAAATAATATAATAATAAAACTATCATTTTATATTATTATATATTTTAAATAAACTTTTCTTTTTACTTTGGAAGTGCTATTTTTATAGTTTGCATAGAATGACATATAGGCTCTAACATGACAAATTTAACTAATTTATTGTTTAGTTGTTTTTAGCTCCAAATTTAAACCAAATAGGGTCTAATAGCTACCTGGAAAAGCTATCAGTTAACATGTTCCTTCATTTCAATGGCTGTTGCCTGGTGAAATAACAGTGTGTGTGTTTTATTCACAGAAAACTGGCCTGCAGTTTGGGAATGCAACATCTTATCTTAATCTTGAAAAACTTGGAGAGGGCACATATGCCACAGTTTACAAAGGAATTAGCAGGTTAGTAGTCATATGTAAACACTCACACATACACACAAATCAATAGTGTAATTGATAGAGCTCAGTTAGATGTTGCCTGTAGGCAGTGGCGGTTCTAGAGGGGGGGCCAGGGGGGCCAGTGCCCCTGTGACAAAAAGCTTGGCCCCCCTTGTGGCCCCCCTAAATGTGGAGTTTGAAATAATTTTTACAAAACTGTTTTTTTTTTGCTATCGTATGCGTATTTTTTTTTTTTTTTTATATATCTTTGTGGATTTGCATTTTCACGTGACAATTCGCATCACATTCGCGGGAATCGCGGCAGAATAACGCCTGTCTCCTGCACGCGAGAGAGGAGAGAAGAAGAAAGTTGGTAAATGTCAGTTCAGTTGTAAGTTCATTCTTTATGTGCGTATGGGGTGTGCGATGTGTATTGTCTATTATGATATTGTAATCATTGTTTTAACCTTCTTATACTGTCTATGGTTTTAACTATGTACGAGGCACTGTGAGCTGACATATCATTTGTCTATCGTCCTTTCACTGCTATGTGCAGTTCATTCATAGGTAGGCTATATGTCCCCAAATTAGTTTTTGTCTTATATTTATATCATATTATGTTCTTATATTAGAATATCACATCAGCAAGAGTGCCGTTTTCCCGTGCACAATTGCAACTGTGATATTTATGTTATACAACAGTTAAATTAACAATAAGTTAACATTGGGAGTTACTTTTTAGACACAATATTGTCAATATTGTTTGTTTTCCCTTTATTTCGCCGACTAGAATTTCATAATGAAACCGTAGCAGAGTCTCAATGCAACACAGCGATGATTTATTGACTGAAATCCGCGTTTTGAACGAATCACTTGCTTCTTTCCCGAATGAATCAGCCGTTTGAACGAATCGTTTGAATGAATGAATCCCTCTTACAGGGACTTGCCGCCGCCTACTGGCGGTTTTAGTTTCATATTTAAAGTATCCTTTAATTAAAACGTTAAAATTAGAAATAATTTCATTTTTTTATATTGATTTAAAAAAAATCTCATAGCTTTATTTATGCAATTGTAAATGGAGTGTAAATATATTAATGCCACTTCTGTGTCACCTCTGCACTGCAAAGATGGATTTTGATTGAATTAATTAATTTGACTGGTAACAGTGGTATTGTATAATTATTGCATAATTAAGTATTATTGTATAAATAAGTATAATTACTGTATAATTTGAATGTTAGTATTTGACATAAAAGGTGATGCATAACTCTAAATAAGTTTAGAAAAAATGTCCATATATAGGTGAAAATGCCCCTGGAAATCAATTTAAGGTGGCAAATATTGCCTCTTAATTAAAAAATGTATTTCTGTCACTGCTGTGAACTGACCACTGCATAGAATATGAGAAATATTAATATCTTTGTGAGTCAGCTGTCAACAACAGGCCTAAACCAGGCACCAGCACAAAAACACAATCAGTAAAATATTATCTAATTATTAACAAAATGTTGAAAATATTGAAATATATTTTTGTCAATATTGCACACCCCTAATGTACGGTATTAATTTTGATTTCTTTAGGTCTTAAAAAGCCTTAAATTTGACTTTAAAAAGTGTGCAGGAACCCTGTAAACGGTTAGACATATCAAGTCAGTTATTTTCAGTAAATGAATTAATAAGCTTCTTGGTCCCCATTGCTTTTGCTCTATAGTTCTCAAAATGAAGAGAAAGAAGGACATCATGTCTATTAAAGTTACTGTGACTAATACTGAATATGTAATGCAAATGTAAAAATATAATGGAAATGCAAATACATTGTTGAATGATTATAAACACGGTATTTTGCCTGTTAATGCCTGCAGCAGTGCAGAAAATGATATGACAACAATAAGGTCTAAATGTAACTGGCCCCTCTAACAGTACAACTGGCCCCAGCTTGGCCCCCCCAGTTGAAATGGGCTAGAACCGCCACTGCCTGTAGGACATTCATTCACTGAGGCGAGATTAATGTTTTACCTTTATGGCAGCATTTAGTTGCCAAGCACATTATTCAGATACACCACCCTGTGGCTTTGTTCCTCTGTATAATAGACAGCAAATGATTCTTTTCACTGCCTCCCTGTAGGCATTCCTTGAGTTCTTCTGTAACAGCTTGTTTTACATGGATTCGTTTTATAAGGTCATCCTGCAACATATGGATACCCGCCTGAGGCCTCAACTGATAGGCAGTTTGATGTTGTTGTACAACAACAAATGCGTTTTAATGAGAAACAGCTCCCATTTATCTCTGTACAGCTGTTTTAGGATAGAAAGCTTTACATTTAGCAACATTTGTGCTTGTTTATGTGGTTAAAGGAACAATGTTACCTCAGTTACAGGTTAAACCTCCCAGCCGATGAAATGCTTTTTTCATAAATTGTACAATAAATGATATCGTTCCAAACCTATAAGACTTCTTCGAAACACAAATTTAGAGATTTCTGTCCCTCCATTCAAATTTATTAGGCTTTTTATTGATAGCCAATAGGCTTTAATTTACCTCACAGACATGAACCATGATTTGCACATTCTCTTCATATTTAATCAGACAAACAATAGAAGATAAAGACTTTTGCTGAAATTTTAAATGTGTGTTTTCTTCATATTTAAGAGTACACTAGCTAATAAATAACTTCACGGCTAATGGACAAAACTCCAATTCAGATGTCATAAGGTCTTCAAAAGGAAGAGCTTGTGACGGTGTTTATTCTACTTTCTTAGATAAACTTTTACCAGCAGATGCATGTTTGTGGATTATGCTGAGGTTTTTCTGTTTCTGGCAGGATAAATGGTCATCTTGTGGCTTTAAAGGTGATTCACATGAAAACTGAAGAAGGAATTCCATTCACAGCTATTAGAGAAGGTACTGCAAGTGCATAACACACACACACACACACACACACACATACACACACAGCCAAGAAACAAAACTGCTCATACACACGTAGGGCAGTGGGAAAAATGTGCCAGTGTGTGTATAAATTGTATAAATAATAAAAAAATTATATGGGGTATATATATGGGAAGCATTATATATAGATGTCTGTGACTGAAATATGATGGAATAGTGCATTAATAAACTGTTTTTATAGAAATAACATATTTATGTTCACATTTTGACATTCAAAAGTTTGAGGTCACTTTTTTGTTTAACGAAATAAATACTTTTATTCAGCATTAAATTAATCAAAAATAACAGTAGAGACATTAATAATTCAGATTTATTTTGGAACCTGAAAAAAAACATGAATTCCACAAAATATTAAGCAGTACAACTATTTTCAATATTGATAATAATAAAAAAATGTGTCTTAAACAGCAAATCAGCATATTAGAATGATATCTGAAGGATCATGTGATCCTGAAGACTGGTAATGGCAGCTAAAAATTCACAGGAATAAATTACATAAATTAATATTAATACATATATATATAATGAATAATATATTAAGATAGAAAATAGTTCTTTTAAATTGTAATAATATTTCACAATATTACTGTTTTTACTGTTTTGTTGACCAAATAAATGCATAAGAAACTTCTATCCAAAATATTAAAATATCTCACCGACCCCAAAGTTTTGAACGCTGGTGTATATAATAACTAATTTCCCCTTGCCTGAGTGAAAAGTGGCTCATCTCACCCCAGTCTCCTCTAAATATGTGATTGTACTGCACTTGTTAATGCCGTACGCCCATGTTATTTGTGATTATTCCCAGCCTCCTTGTTAAAAGGCCTCAAACATGCCAACATAGTCTTGCTCCACGACATCATTCACACGCGAGAGTCTCTCACCTTTGTCTTTGAGTACATGGTGAGTCTAAGACTTTAGCAGTCACCTTCCAAGATTATTTAGGGGTTTTTTTGTCTGTCTGACCTATTTCACATCTTTTTTTCTTTCAGCAAACAGATTTGGCTCAATATATGATTCAGCATCCTGGCGGACTTCACTCGTACAACATCAGGGTAAACAAACCCGTAAACGCACACAGACGCAACGGGGGCAGAAATAATGAGCTGTCTTTCTTTCTCACACTCTGTCTGTTTGTTCAGCTCTTCATGTTTCAGTTGCTCCGAGGATTGTCTTACATTCACAGCAGAAGAATTCTGCATCGAGACCTCAAACCTCAGAATTTGCTCATCAGCTATCTGGGAGAACTCAAATTAGCCGATTTTGGTAGGTTTCATTTAATCTATACACATGCAAACTCTCACATGATAACTAATCATGCATTCTAAACTATTGTGGGCCTCTTGTTGCTTCAGGTCTGGCCCGATCTAAGTCCATACCGTGCCAGACGTACTCTGCCGAGGTCGTGACTTTATGGTACCGCCCGCCAGATGTTCTCATGGGCTCCACTGATTACTCCACAGCCCTGGACATCTGGTGAGTCCCTGCACACACACACACTAATTCTTCTTAGAAAGATTCATAATTGTGACTCAAAATGTCTCTTTAGGGGAGCCGGCTGCATTTTTATTGAGATGCTACAGGGGTCACCAGCGTTTCCTGGAGTTGCTGATGTCTTTGAGCAGCTGCTGAAGATTTGGACAGTGAGTCTGTACTATAATTGTGTGAAATTTCTCTTCTATCCATTTATTTATCCTCCTCTCCTCCCATTATTCATCTCTCCTCTTCTTTCCTTCTGAGGTCCTCGGGGTCCCGACCGAGGAGAGCTGGCCAGGTGTCAGTGATCTGCCGAACTACAAACCAGGTGTGTGCTAAATCCTTCTTTCATCCGTCCCTGTGCTGTAATCTCACAGATGTGTCTGCTATGAGAGGTGATTTCCTGTCTTGACAGATTTGTCTCATTCATTAAATGCTTGTGTCAGGGTATGTCAGTTACATAAAAATGTACTTCATGTGGTAACATCTAAATGAACGAAATGTTTAAATATGATTGAATAAGCTCGATGATATTATGTTACAGCAATGAAAGTCATTTTTGGACTTTTTAGATCAGGAAGAAATAGGTCCTTAAAGGGATAGTTCACCCCAAAATGAAAACTTGTGTCATCATTTACTCACCGTCATGTCATTCAAACCTGTGCAGCTTCTTTCTTTTATGGAACACAAAATGATTATTTGAATTATGTTCAAATTAAGTTGATATTCATTGATAATCTTCCCCTGAATCATAGCTCTCAGATCTCATTCACTCATGATGATGCATATATTCAGACTTTTGAAATGCAGGTGCATCACACTAGTTTTGATGTCGGTAGAGTCAACGCCATTGATTCTTGCATGTCTCATCTCATGGCCTCTAAAGTGTGAAATTTAACCCACAAATCATATGGGCTACTTTTATGGTTCCTTTTACATTAGTGGTTCTTTTGACCATCATTGTCCACAACAATATTTAAAGGCCCCATGACTTTTTCAGTTGATTGTGATTTACTGGATTAGGATTAAGGATACGTGTTTTTGTTTGTTTTTTACTTAACTGATAAAACCTGATATAGTTTAGAGCTTGGCATAACTAGAAAAATGTATATTCATTATAAAATTTGTATTCATTTGCAGGCCTAGAAATTACACTTAAAAAATTACATTTCTTTTTAGTGTTTTGTTTTAATATATTCTGAAAGAATTGTGTAGAATTTTAATATATTGCCTATTTATAATCAGCTGTAACATATACAATACAATAATACGCATTATTTGTAACGTAAAAGTGTGTGCGGCGATTAGTAACTTGAATGTGCAAGACTTCCGTGTCAAGCGCTTCCAGTTATTTTAGCTGTATAATTAATGTCTGTTATGCTGCTTGACATTGCAAACTGGTATTTATCATTATACAATTTTAATTTATTGTAATAATAAACAAATGGTTGTAGCGCAAATTACTTTAATTGGTTACTGCACTTTTATATTCTTCTAGTTATTGACCTTACAGCAGCTAGTAAATCTAAAGTCAGGCACATTCACAGGAGAAGGACTTACTTTTGCATTGTAAAAAAAAGTTTGCTATGCAAAGTTGTATTTTTGTGCACCGCAGAAGTTTTGAATTTTTCTACTTTTGTGTTCCATGGAAGAAAGTCATATGTAAATGATGTCAGATTTTTTATTTTTTAGTGAACTTTTCCTGCACATCCTCACTTTTTACAGACTTGATTTCTTTGTTATTTTTTAACATCAAGTAAATACAAATATACCCATTCATTTAGAATTAAAACTTCACATAGACACCGTTATGCATTGTGTGCGTGTTCTTATATGGTTTAGAGGTCATAAATGTGTATAATGAATGACATGGGTATTACAACGTAAACATGGTTTATGAGGACACTTCCTCTGTCCTCGTAAACCAAATGGCTTAAAAAACATACTAAACCGTGTTTTTGGTCCCCATGAGGAAAACAGCTTATAAATCATACTAAATTATGTTTATTTTTGAAAATGTGAAAATGCAGAAAGTTTTCTGTGAGGGTTGTGTTTAGGGGTAGGGTTAGTTTAAGGGCGTAGAATAATAGAATATACAGTTTGTACAGTATAAAAATCATCATGTCTATAGAAATTCCCCATAAAACATGAAAACCCAATGTGTGTGTGTGTGTGTGTGTGTGTGTGTGTGTGTGTGTGTGTGTTTGGCTATGTGTGGGTGTAAACTTGTTGCCAAGGGTCTGTCGTTTTAATAACATGCAGTCATACAAACAGAAATTCGCTAGAGCAAATTCACAAAGTCGTGCTGAAGCTCTGTTTCCAACATAAATCATTTTGTGTGTATAGGTGTTCTGTTAGCGGTTTTGTTGGCCATCACACCTTCGAGTCAGACACAAACACACACCTTCACACACTCGTGCAGGAAAGGGATTGATGTCTTTCCACTGCAGTCCTGGAAATAAAGTGCAAACTCATTACACAGGTGCACAAATGAGCAATGTGAGGTGGCTTTGGGAAATATGCCTCATTTAGAGTGTGTGGGTACTGATGGAGATGATGTGTGTGGTAGGTAAACTGCTGGCAGGCCTTCCTGGCTGTGTTTCTCCATGAATCTGGGTTTACCCAAGCCCCAGGCTGCTCTGTATGTGTGTGTGCCATGTGTTGGAGAGAAGCTACATGAACCCGCTGTGGTCTCTCAGGTATATCCAGGTGTGCTGAAGCAAAGTGTGGCTTCAGGTTTCAGCCAAGAATGACCGGGTGGCCCGTGACCACAGCCACTGACAGAGGGACACTATGAAGGCTCCTCAAAAGTTCTTTATAGCAAAAAAAAAACATTTCTGAGTGGTTTGAATGTTTCCTTAAATGTTAATTAAAGTTCTTAAATTAATAGTTTACCCGAAAATAGTATTTTAAAAAGCAGTGTTATTTTAGTATTATTTATATAGGCTACTCTTATATAGGGGTGTGCAAAATGATGACAATCTTATTTCACGATACATAATTTTATTTCAGTCATGACAACTCTCGGAATAGTTTTAGCATTTTATTAAATATGCCAATGTTAGTGTATTTGGTATTGATGATTATTGCTGCTGCAGAGCAAGTATTGACGGCAAGTATGTAAGATATGCATAAATAGACATACATAAATCCTGTAGCAGATCTAGGCAGGTGGAGCTGGGGGAGGTGGAGGCTTTCAGAGGAACTCCGATAGCATGCTGCAGGACAATTTTACAGCAAACAATGATTCAGACTATTTAAATGTTGAGCAAACAATCTCATTGGCTGCAGGATCAGTAGAGGCCAATCAGCTTATGCCATGCGGTAATGATGTGATTGCTTGCAGTTTGCATGTAAAAGACCTATCAGCCTGCGCCCTCTAGAGTTTCATGACTGAACTAGATATTTATCACAATATAGTTATTTTTATTTTATTTGATCTTTGTTATTAATAAACGGAACAAAAATGCAAATTAGTACTTCAGGTATGTTAGTCAGCATCAGTACTGCATTGAATTTTTAAAAAATGTGCTTGATAAATCTTTTTAACGTCAAACCGCGCATTATTTTCTCAGTCATACATATTTCTTTATTGCTCTAAAGTGTGAAAGACTAAGCAATTTTGTTCTGCGCAGCTATATTTGCATACTGATATACACAATATAGCAAAATCTCTATTGATAGACACTTTATATCTTCACCGTGATATTTATCATCATACCGTTTAGCTCCACTATTATACTATTTCATATTTTGAATTAGCTTTCTTTTTATTCTTTTTTTTTCATTTTAAGTTTGAGCAACTTTGATATGTGCATTTTAGTTTGTTTTTTAATATTTCTATTTAGCTTTGCTTCATTTTTATTTCAGTTTTAGCAACTTTTTTATTTTATTTATTTAATTTTAGTTCAATTAGTTGCCAAGACAACATTTCTTACTTTTGTTTCAAAATAAAGTTTTTCATTTAATATTTATATTTTATATTATTTGAGCTTTATTTCAATTGATGAACGTATACTATTTTTAAAGGAGCTGTATGTAAGAAATTTATTTCAATTAATCATGAAATGGCCCTGATATGTCACTAGACATTAAGAAATCATGTACATTTCAAATACTTATATCACTGACAACAGTAGTCTGGCCAGGATATTGTCATTTAAAAAGTGCAGTTGCAGCCCTCAACTTATGTTGATGTTGTCATGTTGTGTTTTGGTCTGATGCTCCACCCTCCACCTATCTACCAATCACGAAGTCAGTAGTGTTGCGGCATCCGGGTTGCCAGCTCTGCTCTAGTTACCACAGCTGCAGCTCGTCACGTTCCTGCTGGATCCTGCAGCCGATCTGGCAACCTCGAGGCAGGGAGGAGGGGGAGGGGATACACCACTCTACAGTAATTTGACAGTGATTGCAGTACTAGTTTTGGCCACAATCTTACATACAGCTCCTTTAATAGTTATAGTTAATAATGACAAAATTGCACAAAAGGAGAAATTCAGCAGAATGTTCATGTTGCTCTTTTCCATGTAACAAAAGCATACAGTGATGATGGCCTGTCATCTCCAAAAAATGACAAAAAGCACAATAAAAGTGGCCTTCACAGCTCTTGTGGTATTGAAGTCTAGTTTACTGGTGTTATGAATGAACATCGGTAAACTTAAAAGTTTTGTCTACGGGTTAATTAACACATGAGATTAATCAGGCGTGAACTTGAACTAAGTTACATGTTAGTCAAAATGTGTCACATTGCAAATAAGCCTGTTCTAAAACAACACATTAAAACCCAGACAATGAATAACTAAATTGCAATATGTATATATATATATATATATATATATATATATATATATATATATATATATATATATATATATATATATATATATATATATATATTAAATTGCAAAATATTGCAATAATGTTTTTATAAAGTTATTTCAGATGCTTCAGGTTTTTACAGCATTGACAGTTTCCTGTGTTATTAAAAACTTTGTAAAAAACAAAGACATACCATTTCTTTAATAACTTCATAACTTAGCATTTGCCAAGAGTAAATCGAGACATGTTGTGCAAAGGTCTGATATTAGCAATTGCCATTGGTTCTGTTGCAGCTCATAAACAGTTATGAGAACCCCAATTGAAACTTTAGAGTTACACTATATTTTATGGTACTTTAAATTACCGTGTAATGAATTATCGTGAAAGAAAGAAATGTAGAGCAGCAACTTGATTCTATCCATCATTGTATTTTGAGATGTGGACATTTCATTCAAGAATTAATGCAAGCTTGCAGTCAATTGTGAAGGGGCGGGGTTTAAGAGAACTGCTGTAAATGATTAGAGAAGTCTGACATTTGTCACCAGACAGAAGTCAGTCATTTCACCAGAAGGTCAAGTTATGACATTTGGATTTAATATTACAAGCTCAATTTTTTTGTTTTAAATACATGGATAACTTATTCACCTTAAGATCTATAACATGCATTTACAAAATAAATATTGAATTTTCATCTCATTCTGGCTTAAATAATGATCCAAGTCACCTCTCACTATCATTGTGTGGAAAGGAGCAGCGTGAACATTCTGCCAAACATCTCTTTTTGTGCTCCACAGAAGAAAGGAAGTCATATAGGTTTGGAATAACACAAGGAATAGTAAATGATGACGGATTTCAAAGATTGTCTCATTGTCTCAACATGCTCTGAGTGAAGATACCTGATCATAGTTGGATGTTTTAGAGGTCTATTAAGCTAAAAGAGGACTCTTTGTGTTCTTGTAGAGTGGTTCCTGGCCTGCAAGCCCCGGCAATTTCGAGATGTCTGGAAAAGGTAAGACCAGTTCATGCATTCATGCTTGCGCGCGTATGTGTGTGTGTGTGTGTGTTGGCTCCGAGTGGGAACAGAAGGGTTTTTGTATTGCGGTCCTCATCTCCCCTCCACCAACCCCCTCTAATGGATGTCTGACCCATAGCTCTCTCTCTCTCTCTCTCTCTCTGTGTGTGTGTGTGTGTGTGTGTACATTGGCCCAGACTCGCTCAGTTACCTTATAAGACAGAGGACCTGGCCCAGCAGATGCTGATGATGATTCCAAAGGACAGGATTTCAGCCCAGGATGCATTGCTGCACCCATATTTCAACACTCTTCCACCTCCGTTAATGCATCTAAGGGACAGTAAGTGCTGGAGAATTTCACTATATGAGCGGAATGCACGCAATTCCAGCTTCAAAGGCTAATCTGGTCCCGTTTCAGACAAGATCAAAGTTAAATCCCTCTTTAGTTTCTGTCAAAACTGGCAACCTTTTTCAACACTGACTCAAGATGAAAAGAGATTATGCAATCTTAGAAATGTATTTTTCCTCCTGTCACTCGGTCATTTCTCTTTACCTAACCTTCTCTCTTTCTCCGTCAGCCGTGTCCATCTTTAAGGTGCCGGGCGTGAGGTTAGAGCCGGAAGCGAGGGATATCTTCAGTCCCAGCAGACGAATGAAATCGCCTCTTGCTCCGCTGGCCAAGTGCTGGTGAAAGACTTGTCTTTGTAAATAGTTGGTGTCCTTATGAAAACCAAAAACACGCCAGCATGAGTAAACGTGATACTGTTGCAGCATGACGGTCAGTTTGTATATGCAGGTCTAAATCAGCTTTATCAAATATATTTCTTAGGGAATATCAGATTAAATTTCATAAGAATCATGTTTTTACATTTTGGACCAGTAATAGCTAAGAGAAAGTTTAATGGAAGCTGATTTATCACCAGGATCCACATTTTAAACACTGTATTTTGAGATCATATTCACTGAGAGAGAATCAGATATGTCTGCTTTCCTGCCTCTCAGCAAAGTAATGTTTACAGCACACTTTCATTGTCAATAAGTTTGAATTAAATGCACTTATTCATTTTGATATGTAATAACTTTTTGTATATATTGCACAGAAAAGAGTGAGAGTGTTGAATTGGGAATGTGATATGAAAATGCGTGGAAGAAAATACCTACTAATATTTCAAAGCTCTATTGTATAGTGTGCAGGTGAAAAAATGACTTGTGTGCGTTCATAAAACACCTGGAGAGTCTCTCCTGAAATTACCTGTTTTTGTACAGCACATACTCATATTTCTGTGGCCAGCGTGTCAAGACATGTTTAGTACTGTTTTTAGCTAAGTTTGTATCAAGTTCATAATTAATAGTGTCAGTATTTACATTTGAAATATTAGCTATGTATGTATAAGATGCAGAGAGTCAAACATGTGCTGCTTCTAAGTCAATGTTCTAAGTGAGAGATGCACAGCAATAATCGTCACCAACAAATAACAGCTTCAAATAATAGAAACAATCACTCAATGCTGATGTCATACATATCCACACACTTCAACATAATCTGCAATACTGTGAAAATTGTGTACGTGTTGATAAAATTGTATACAATCCCACTGTGTCTTGACTTCTGAATAAATACCATAAAAACGACATTGGTAAGGGTAGGGTAGGCAATTTTCAACACATATGAACGCGAACAGCAGGGAGCAAACAAAAGTGTCATGAAAGACGGCGTTAAACCTCATGTCTCAAAGCACATAACATTACAATAATAATGAACATAAACAACTTAAAGAGCACTGACCAAGTAGTGGTTTACTTCACCTATTGCCCATGAACAAAATACTTTACCCATGTTCCTCCAGGGGACCACCAGAGGGAAGGTAGTTTTAACCTATACAAATGCTTAAACGGTGTGTCTTTAAAAATTATAATATACATTTTTACAGGATATTTTTACTCTACAATGTAAATGGGTCTGATATAGTTTTTTACATTTAGCTCATAAATATACAATTATTACTGGAAAAGTTTCCTCCATTTTACTATTAGCATATGGTCCACTTAGCAGCTTTTGGTAGGCTAAGTAACCACCCATTTCCACAAGAAGATACCACCTGATCTGACCGACATGTACAGTGACTGACCAGTTTGTTTTGTTTTATAGCTGAATCTGAAATCAACAATACAACAAACAATGAATGTTCCAGTTCTTCAGTCACTATGCAAAACACGTGACAAGATAATACAAAAAAAAAACCTGTTGGTACAAATGAGGAGTGTCTTTTCATTGTGCTGTTTCAGGTGTGTTGTGTAACTTCTGGAGTTTTGTATGAAGATGGTACGAAGAGAAACTTCCTTTCTGGTTATGAAAGCAGTGAATGGGCAACACAATGCTCCAACAAGCTCTCAAGATATCGAATTTCATTTAAACCTGAAGGGCTTTATACACACACACACACACACAGTCTACACACAGGAAGATCAAACCTCTCTGTCTTTCTTCTTTTCCTCCAGCCTTCTTGCGTCTCTCATTTTCCATCTGGCTCTGTTGAAATGCAGCACTCATGCAGTTCCTTCACCAGCCACGATAGGGCGCCCTATTTCTCACAAATTCACCCAACAGTAGCACGACTATCCACGCCGGGGCTAGTTGTCACAGGGGCTCAGTTAAACAAACATCATGTATTTTCTCTAGCGCTGATTTTGTATGTTGGTTGCAAACCCGTCAAATAAAATATTCTCTTAAATGAAAATATTATAATGAATACAAAACTCAAATGAACACAATAACACCACATTGGTTACATTCAGGCAAATGACCACAATATAATACAATATATTTTTATTTGTTGTTTTGTATTTCATCATTTATTATTAAAAATGTGCTTAACCTATCATCTTAAAAAAAGGTTATTTTTTGGCATCAGTGGTTCCATGAAGATCCTTTAACATCCATAAAACCTTTCCATTGCACAAAAGGTTCTTTAAAGGTTCTATAGAAGAAACATTTTTGTTTTTTTTGGTCCTTTACGTTGTCACAATGTACGCTGCCATTAAACAACATGGCATGGTGTCACAATAGGTCAATATGTTTTCAGTTCACTGTATCTCCCTAGTTTCTTTAGGCAATAGAGAACTCTTTAATCAACTTTTTTTTTTTTTGCTAGGACTTTAAGGTAAATAAACACACCATGAGAAATTTTCACTTGAGTAAAAATGGTAACAACTAGCCTTGGACTTTTTTAGTGTCCTACACCTTCTCCCTAAAGCTGAATTCAGCAAGTCTGTTAAATGTATGTGTTGGTTTCCATCACAGGAGTCAGTGGGTGGAGAGAGTTTTGACGGAGTGGTTCAAGGCCATGAAATGAAAAGCTGAGAGCTCAGATGGTCTCTCTCAGTATGTATTTTCCAAGGCTTAACTCACTCTGATGTGGTCTTGTTAACGTTACTGCAGCAGCGCCAGCAAGGTTTTATATGGGTTTATGATATTAATTAATGTCAAAGCACAAGGTCATAAGACCGCCGTTACTATTAAGTGCTTACTGATGTCGGTAAAGCTCTGACAGATATAAAATAGTATAGGTCTGTATAAACACACGTACAAGCCAAAAACGTCACACAAAAGTACTCTAACAAACACTCACTCATAAAGTGTGCACAATACAGTGGTGGAGATCCATTACTCACAGCTAAATTAAAGCGATCTGTGATCATGCACATACTCGTTTCACATGTGAGTGTGTTTAAGGGTGCAATTTGAGGAGAGTCAGTTCCAGTTTATTCCTACAGAAACGCAGGATCTTTAACTACAAAGAAGAAAAATGAATCTGCCGTCTGTCTCCAGTGCTCAGGCATCTCATCCGATATCCTGATGATTTGAGAATGCATGAGGACATTCCATTTAAACCATTCATCTCTCATCACCCACTCCACCCACTGAAGGATACTGAATAACTACTGTTATCTCCAGTCTAACACCCTGAGCTCTCCTCTGAGCTCCTTAAAACACTCTCTCCACTTAAAAATGATTTGTTTGAGGGGAAAGAAAACTTGAGTCATACTTCTCAGTAGATGTGCATAGTCCATTCCTTAATAGAAATCTTATCAGTCCAACATCAGATCGATTACTTACAATTATTCCAAAGATATTTTGCTATCAAACTGCCTGACAACCACTAAAAAACCTAATTGCAACACTTGGCAACCAGTAAGAGCATGCAAACCACTGCTTAGCAACAACAACAACAAAAAGAACACTATAGCAATTCCCAACTACCCCAACAACACCCTACCAACCACTCAAAACACATAGTAACATCCTAGTAATCTCCTCAGAACATAATTGCAAATAGCAGAGCTATATGAAACAACTAAAATGAGTTTTTCTGTGAATTTGCCAAGTAGACAGGTTCCTGGTTCAACATAATTAGTTGATCCTGGAAACAACATTCCTCTCTGAACATTTAGTCCTAACCATATCCCTACCCCTAAACTAACCCTACTCATAACTAATCCTTAAAATCAGAAGGGAAATTATGATTAACACTGATGTAGAAGCACCTAAAACTGCTTGTAAGCCTAAACTTGACATAAACTTCAAACTTGTCCCTCAAATCTGATTGGTTGATTGGAATGTTGTTCCAGGATGAACAAAGATGTTGATTCAGGAACATGTTGCACTTGGTTCACTGTCAGTCAATGGCGTTCATGTAGCATGATGTTAATGGCAATGTCAAGGGTTCAATTCATGGACTGAAAAAAAATGCATAGCTTGATTGCAAATTGCTTTGAAAAAAAGTCTGCTTTCTACTATAATTCACTATCATCAATTTTATGTTATGTGGTGATTGTACATAAAGAGAGGAAAAACAAATCAAATGCACATAACAGGCTATATGAAATGACACAGGCGCTAAATCATGAATGCGATGTGTCATGATTTTGCATTAGGCTTTTACATTGAGGATAAACATGAGAAAGGCATGTGGCCGGTTGGGTAACGTTTCAAGGTTGCAGTAGCATTTGTTTGGCAGCATGTGTAGCTTAGGAAGGCGACTGTGAAGTGTGAGAGAGTGTTTTGGGTTCTGTGCGTGTGTGGTCTCGGGCTCTCTCGGCTTTTGTAGCTCTCTCTGTTTATTCATGGCTCCTCAAGCACATGCAAGAGACAGCTGTTACGGCCAACCTCCATGCAGGCCTCACAAGCCTGGGGCTGGATTTACACACACCAGCCAGATAGGTGTCACTGTATCAGGGGTGGAGCGTGAGGATTTGTGGGAGCTGTCACCAGAACTTTTTATTATTCATTGCAGAATGGAAGGTGATAGATAGATGTATTTGTGCTTTTGGAGCATGGAGTGAATTAAACAAGTTTGGAATATTCCATCAAAACGGTCTTGAATTTTTCCTTATTTGATTAAAATGGCCTTGAATCAATTCAAAAGTCTCTTTTTTTAAGTGGGAGGGGGGAACTTTAAGAGACACTATCACTACTTTATTACCTTGTGCAACTATCTGGAATCTTATAAAACACTGGCTTTTTTCCTATTGAAAATATTTTCCTCTTACCCTCCTCCCCATCCCGCTCTGCTCTTTATTTCCTGTCTTCCTCTCCTCCCTGCTCCATGTGAGATTGAGTCTTCAAACAATAAATCCCTCTGCCTGCTCATTTAATCTGCATATCACTCTTCCATTGACCATTATCAACAAAATAGCCACCCATACTTAGCATGCAAATTATCTAGTTATTTGGAGAAAGAGAGAGAAAGAGTGAGGCCCAGTGGGGGGTCTTGCTGGAGGAGTGTGGGTTTCCTTTAACATAATGGGATTTCAACAGGGGGAAGGGGGCTATTGTCTTTTGGCAGCTCATTGAAACCCTTCAATTTTTGGGTTTTGTTGATAAGGTAAACCTGTTAAACTGTCAAC